AAAATACGTCGAACTAGCTATTAAGCTTGATAATCGACTTTACGAATGACGAAGGGAAAGGAAACAAGTCCCGCAAGCAAACACTAGGAAACGCTATCAACCGCGCTTCTAAGGATAGAACCGCCTTAGAAATAACTATTAGCAGAATCGATAAACCACGGCCTATGGATACTATAGTGGACCGATGGACCTTAGTATGGCCAAACGAGAACAACCGTACTAGAAGGAAGTCTTCAGGTGCTACAATTGCGACAAGCTAGGACATATGTCCCGCAACTGTTAATAACCCAGAAGGATCTAGCAGCGACCTATGCCCGAGAAATAGATCAGGGTCGCTACTAAGGAAATTCCTTATAAGCAAATCTCTTGGATAGTATGCTACGACGATAACTGCCTTACCTATTAAGACAGTAAGGAAAACACGGGATGGTACCCTAAGGAGCCCGCTAGCATCAAGACCCTCGTTATGACAAGTAGACAAGAGGTCACGCAACGACCGAAGACCCTCGAGTATTATAACAAGGAATGCATTCAGATATTGTCTACGGCCTACGAAGCCGTCAGGACATAACCTAGCAGCCATCCGAGACGAGCTTAAACACTCGCAGCAGTCGGAGGAAGACTCCAGAAAAGAATGATTACGAAGGATAAGAAATCCCTACTTTAACTGGAAGAAGAGTGTCAGAGCCCTCCCGGATAGGGGCTAGTAAGAGGTAGTAAGGAGTCCAAGCAACAAAGGAGCAGCTCAGATATATATACAGCGCAGGGAGTACACGTCGAGGGAGGAGCAGATTTCAGTAATTCATCATTCTACCCCTAACTGCAGTTGGCCTCTGAGAGCTTCCACCCTGCGTCAACAATCCCAACTTAACAAAGAGATCCCAGCCAGGGAACTCGAAGACCTCGACCGCGAACATAGAATCTAAATTATCAAGGGAAAGAACCTTGATTTCGGAATGGACAAGAACGGAAGAAACGACTTCCGAATAAATAGACTAGAACTAGCCTTCGGTTCTAGCTTATACCTATTTGACGAAGGTGAAAATTCACCTTACGACTCGGACGAACCTCGCGACGTCGCTCGACGATGTACTTAGACGGAGATCGATTATAAGGTACTGCCTAGCGTTGACGATACTAGTTCTAAAGAGGACCTTGACGAATCTCGGTGCAACCATATTCACCTATACGACGACGATTAGACGGTCGAACTTTATGGGACTTCTGACCATAAGAAGAACCTGGTAACGCCTTATACGCCTAAGGATCACCCCCTACTCGACCTTAAGGACCCCTTTTATAAGGAACTCTTCTGGGCAGAATGCCTGGACGACAGGTGCCTTTGGCACCTCTCACCCAAAAGAGACTCTCGATTCTACCTACGAAGAATTAACGATAAGCTAATCAAGGATATCTACGTAGATGACTAACTCACGAGCTAGATACTATTATCCTTTGAAGATAATAATTAGGCAACCTTTGGACCTGATCCAAACTTTCCTATGTAATTCTTGAATAGCGAATACGTAGAATAGGACGACTGTAGATACGACCAGTACCAGATCTACTACTTACCCAAGGCAAAGGCCTGGAGAGAATACCAAGAACAAATCGAACAAGACGTCAGACTGAGAAATAGAATGATAAAAAACTAGAAACGCCAATCGATAAGAGACAACGAAAGGCGGAGAGCAAGGATAAGCGCCTATGCTTAATAACATATCTTAACGACGAACATTTGAGAGTGAGACTCTAGATAAACGGACACGATATGCGCGCGATTATTAATAGCGGCGCTTAACGAACCTTCATATCACTAAAAATAATAAATAGGTTAGACCTTCTATGGGTACAGAAGGAAGAACCTTATACCCTACAGAATGTAGAAGGAGAAAGAGTTGGGTATGACGAAGGACTTGTCACTCGCGAGACCGTACACCTCACGACACACGTTAACAATCATCCAGAACAACTCCAGTATGACATCACGGAGATCGGAGACATCGATGTCATCCTAGGAATCTCGTGGTTACGAAAGCACAATCTACGGATAGATTGGGTGAATGGCCACATCCAATGGACAGATTCAGTCACTGAACGACCTAAGAAACAGGGTTCAAACGAGTCTTACGCAACACCTGACGAACAGACGAAATACATTGCCTACGTCAGACACGTAGAGCCTACCAGGTCGTTAGCACCCGGCACGGGCGATCAGGGATCGAACCCACTCCAGACTATACCCGAGGAGTACCGGAAGTACAGCAAACTGTTCGTTTCCAAGGAAGGAACAGGACTGCCAGAACACAGCAGCTGGGACATGGAGATCGAACTCAAAGAAGGAATGCAGCCAAAGTTCTACCCATTGTACCCTATGAACCAACAAGAGCAGGAAGAGCTTAACGAATACATCGACGAAAAGCTCGCAAAAGGGCACATTAGACCCTTATTATCACCCGCTGGAGCACCACTCTTTTTCGTCCCGAAGAAGGGGAAGAAGAAACTGAGACCTGTAATCGACTATAGAGGACTTAATGCAATTACTAGAAAGAATTGCTACCCCCTACCCCTCATCACAGAGCTTAGAGATCTATTACACGGAGCCCAATGGTTCACCAAGATAGATCTCAAGGAAGCATTCAACCAGATTCGAATTAAGGAAGGAGACGAATGGAAAACAGCATTCCGAACCCGCAGAGGACTCTTCGAGTACCTCGTCATGCCCTTTGGACTCACCAATGCACCCGCCACGTTCCAGACAATGGCAAACCATGTTCTCAGAGAATATGTAGACATCTTCGTCGTTGTTTACATCGACGACGTCCTCATCTTCTCCCCAAACATGGAGATACACAGGGAACACGTCCATAAGGTATTCCAAAAGCTACAGGACGCGAAACTCTTCGCTGAACCCGATAAATGCGAATTCCATACGCAACGAGTCGACTTCCTCGGATACACGATCACACCCGGAGAAATCCACATGCAAGAATCGAAGGTAGAAGCAGTCAAGGACTGGCCTACTCCTCAGAACGTCAAGAACGTTCAAGAATTCCTAGGATTCGTCAATTTCTATCGACGATTCCTCAAGGACTACGCTAGCATAGTCAGACCTCTCAACAACCTGACACGAAAGGACACGCCATTCGTATGGGACGATAAATGCGAGGAAGCATTCGTTAAAGTCAAGAACATGGTGGTTTCCGAACCAACCACTATGATCCCAGATCTAAGGACACTATTCGAAGTCGAGACCGATGCCTCAGACTTCGCCATGGGAGCAGTCCTAGGACAACGAGACGAACAAGGAAAACTTTACCCTTGCGCATTCTACTCCAAAGCATTCCACGGAGCAGAATTGAATTAGCAAATCCACGATAAGGAACTGATGGCCATAATCGAAGCCTTTCGAGAATAGAAGCCACAGTTATCAGGAACCAAGCATGAAGTCACGGTCTATACAGACCACAAGAATCTTGCAAACTTTATAACGAATAAGAACCTGAATAAACGACAAGTTAGATGGAGCGAATTCCTCTCCGAATTCAACTTCCGAATCATCTATAGAAAAGGTTCAGAGAACAGCAGAGCCGACGCTCTCAGCAGAAGACCTGACCACGAAGTCAAGGTCCCCGAGGAAACACAGGTTATCCTCAAACACGACGACGATGGCAACCTTGTACCTACTACGAAGCTCCTTACGATAGCTAGGAAGGTCAATACCAGCCCGACTGGAAGAATGACCCCTGAGCTCATCATGGAAATTCATAGTGCTAAGGCACATGGTCACCAAGGCGTCACAAAGACATGGAAACGAATTCGACAACATTACGACAAGTCTGCCACGCGAGCAGAAGTCGCCGAAGCAATCAAGGATTGCGACATTTGCAAGAAGAGCAAGAACAGCCCCCATAAGCCCTATGGAGAGCTGCAACCGCTTCCGATACCACCCGAAGCATGGCACTCAATCTCATGGGACTTCATTGTCAAACTACCAAAGTCCAGAGAGCCACTCACGAACGTACTGTACGATAGTATCTTGGTCATCGTCGATCGACTTACCAAGTTCGCCTACTTCGTACCATATAAAGAAGCAAGCAATACAGAGGAACTGGCATATACCTTCCTCAAGACTATTGTTACCAACCACGGTCTACCAAAGGAAATTGTCTCTAACAGAGATAAGCTATTCACCGCTAAGTTTTGGAGATCCCTGATCTCGCAACTCGGTGCAGACCATAAGCTATCAACCTCTTTCCACCCGCAGACCGACGGACAGACAGAAAGGATTAATCAAATCCTCGAAACATACCTTCGTTATTATGTGAACTACGACCAGAATAATTGGGTATCGCTACTACCAATGGCCCAATTCGCATATAATAGCGCAGTTGGCGAGAGCACGAGAGAATCCCCGTTCTATCTTAACTATGGATTCCAGCCAACAGCGTACGGAGAAGCACGATAGGGACCACAGGCCGTGAAAGCCGTGGCCGACGTGACGAAACTCAGAGAGCTCCAGAAGAAAGCATCTCAGGACCTCGAATTTGTACGGCAGCGTATGAAGAAAAACGCCGACAGATCAAGGATTGGAGGACCAACCTTAGAAGAGGGGGATAGCGCCTATCTCCTTCGACGCAACATCAAAACGAAACGACCAAGCGACAAATTGGACTATAAGAAACTTGGACCTTTCGAGATCATTAAGAAAGTCTCACCAGTCAATTCCGAATTGAGACTACCAGATATAATGAAGTGTCACCCGGTATTCCACATCTCACTCCTTGAGCCAGCACCACGAGGCTCGTATACGAACGATTATATTGTTATGGAATCAAACCAACCAGAGTATGAAGTCGAACAAATTATCGACCACAGAGTCAGGAACGAGACACGAGAATTCTTGATTAAATGGAAAAACTACGGACATGAGGAAAATACATGGGAACCTATTACGAACCTCCAGAACTCCCGATAACTCCTTAACGATTATCGGAAGACGGGACTAAGTGACCCAGGTTCGCAAACTCATCGCCAATCCCAAAAGAAGACCAGTCCGCATCATTAGAAACACCAGCGGCCTAAAGATCGCTTATAATCTACCGCTTATACGTATCTAATATAAGAAGAATGTTATCCTCTTCCTCTAGTTCCTGTATACCCCGAGCAAACGTCTTAATATGTCGCTCCTTTACCTTCCTCCGAAAAGCCCGTATATGAGTAAGACGACCCGCCGCCTTGGCAACCTCAGACTGGATCTAAGTTAATTTCTTATGAAGACCAAGTAAGGCATCGCTAGCTTGCTCCTCCTTCTCCTCCCATTCTTGACGCTGATTACTTAGCCTCCGTATTACAAAAACACGTTAGTATTACCCAGAAGAGAAAACAAGAAGAACACTTACGACTCGATGCCACGACAAGACCATCATAAGGACGCTTTAGGTTTTTATAACCTTGACACGTATTAGCACCCTTAGCTATTCGACATACGCGCTTTGCACGAAAGCATTGCGTATAAGGCATAATGTCGTTAGAACCAAAGCGATCAAATACGTCGTCATAAGCCGATCGGAGCGTTAAATCAGAATCTTTCGAGTAACGTTTTTGGACACGACCTGACATTGTGTCAGCATATTGCAACGAGCAAACTTAACGGACCCCAACCCGGGCCTACAAACACCTACTTATAGGTCTACGGGACTAGACCTTTGGAAGGGAGACCTGATGTTACGACCCAACATGCACGACCAAGTCCAGGGCCTGCCCCGCAGGACCACGGCGACTACGGCACACCATAAGTACACGAACTATGGTGATGATGATGCATTTAACGTCTGGTAACAAAAGGACGTGCCGGGCGCTATGCCGACATGGTCTATACTAATCTAAACTATATTACAGGCTACCGTCTTCACCTAACGTTCCTGTTCAAATACACGAACTATGGGAACACATGCGTCACCCTACGGAACGGAAGAACTATAGAGCAAGTCACGTGATAATAAGATAAGGAAAGCCGTATTCTAAATATACGGAGTCCGTCCCTTTGAGGTACGGAGCCTAGGAACACATACCTCGAAAGGTACCCACTGTTAGTAATTGTTAAGGTTATAGAGGGCTACGGCCCACTCTACTATCATCTCTCAACATCAGCCCATACGAGCTGAATTCCACGACTATGGCGGTCTCCCTAGATGTAGGGCCATCGATTATGGTTTATGGGGACGCCGGTATATCTCGGCGGTCGGGACGAGTCCGGAAGCCGACTGCAAAGGTCAGAGTGGTTAAGCAGGTTAACCACCAGGATAATTCTGAGCTTAAAGACGAGATTAATAAGCTTTCGAATCTTGTCTAGGACTTCCTACGTCGGGACGCCGAGAGGGAATAGTTTTTGAAAGACTATTTGACGAAGATCGAATCCTTGGAAAGAGAGCTTCAGGAGGAGAAACAGCGTTCAAACCGGCATTAACGTGGTCTAGTAAGGTCTATACACGCTATTAGCACAGTGCCTAGCGAGACTGACCTGAGTTCCCAGGGGCATCCCTCGTATATAACCCAGAACTAGCCGCCCCCAGTCCGTTTATATACGGCGGCGGCGAGCCAGCCACTATCTAGAAGATAAAATAAACTAATGCTAGCTAAATAAGCTATAAAACAAGCTACAAACCGGGCGGCCTTAAAGGATCTATACGTCTTTACGCGTCTATCGCCTAAAAGCCCGCTTCGGAACGAGAAAGCCTACGATATATATATCTTCGTTCGGGAAAGGCTAAGTCCCTAAGCCCGAGAAGCCCTTAAGGGGATCGACTATGTTAAGATAGGATTAGTACTCCTACCTTCGTTAATGGATGGTGTAAAAGTCCTACTAGAGAATAAAGAACAGATCGCTGCCCTTCTCTAAGCGTAAGCGATCGAGCAACGCGATACCTGGATCCGAGCCTATATCGTAAACGTCCCTTATACCAGGCATTATCTAGTAACTAACACTGAGCTAGAAATCACGACCGAGGAGCTCCTTGAAGAGATCCAGGTCTCGACGAAACTCAAGCCTAAAAAAGCACACTTCTCTAGGAAGGACGAAGTCGAAAGGCTAGGCACGGTAATAGCCTAGTTTAAAGTAGAAGCCGTAAGGCAACTACCAAGATGCCTCCGTTTAATAAGGGCCAGCGTTTTTATAAACCTATAGTTCCCGAAGGAGAAGAGGTCTCCTCAATATCTCCGCTGCGGCGGTTTTCACAGCGAACGAACGTACACCAGAAGGAAGAGATGCCTCAAGTACAGCTCTCCTTCCCACACAACTGATCAACACCGGGCACCCTACGGCGGCACTAAGGGTTACGATGGCTGCGACTGCCCCTTTAAATGCCCGTCGTATAACGGGCCTCACGCCGCCTTCGATGCGACTTGCCCTATCCAACCCAAAGTAGTGAAGGGGGTAGTCCAGAGGAGGGATAAGGCTCAGCTACGGGCCATCCGAGCTGAGGGAGAAAGATTATAGAGAAATACGACCCAGCAGTCGCATCGACATTCCCGTAAAGAAGAATAAGCGATAGACTATACCCCGGCGAATAAGATACAAAAAAAGAATATAGCCCTCTAAAACCCTACAAATCATACAAGCGAATATAGGTAGGCACCCGCCTACGAAATAGTACTAAACCTAGCTTACATAGCCTAGATTAATATACTCCTAATATAAGAGCCGTTTATCCGTTTAGAGGAGAGGAGGCTTATAAGATACTACCCAGGTTTTGAGACTTTTACCCTAATGGATAACTGGACCGAAGACCGTCCCAGGGTACTTACTTACCTCCGTAAAGGAACTAGGGTACGAGGCGTATAAATACGGCCTCTACCCGATCTATCTATAGACCTACTCTTCTTATGACTCCTCTTAAGAACAAAGGAGGTCCATATAGTTATTAACATATATAACGCCCCTCGTAGCTCTCTACGATCTGGCCAGGCTCTCAGGAACATCCTAGCGGCCTAGTAACCCAAACCTGAGGATCGAGTACTGATTACGGGGGATTTTAACTTACACCATTAGACGTGGCAGCCCGAGGCCACGAGTTCCCCGGACGCTGAAAACCTAGTAGAATGGGCAGAAGCCGCCAGCCTTGTCCTAATGTCACCTATAGGTGAACCCACGCACAAAGGCGGCAACACCCTAAATTTATGCTGGGCGTCCAGCAACCTCCATGGGGCTTCCACTAGCATAGAAACGTCACTACACACGACATCAGACCACGAATCTCTGCTTACCCGGGTCCCCTTGGCCCTGATCGATTCACCTAGCCAGACCCCGGGAAGGTTTCGGCTCGACACGATAGACGAGGAGCTTTTCCTCGGCATCATTAAACGCAACTTATAACCCATACGCCGTACTATAAGCAACATCTAAGACCCATAGTCTTTAGATCTCCTAGTACAATAGCTTACGGACTGTCTTATTAAAGCACTTACGGCTTCCACAAAGCGCACGCTCGGGAAAGGTACAGGGAGACCATACTGGAGCGAAAGCTGCACACGTAAATACCGAGCCTATACGAGTAAGCGAGCGATATTAGTAAGACTCCGCACAGCCGGAGTAAACTACCAATAGGAAAAAGAGGAGGTTGAAGCTCTAAAACAGGACTTCCTCTACAAGTTTAAACGCTCCAAGGATGCCTTTTGGAAAGATAAGATCTCCTCAGCCTCCTTAAGCAAAGACATATTTGAAATAGTCGGTTGGTATAAAGCCACAGGATCCTTTCAGACCCCGCCACTCCGAGATGTAGACAACCAAGACACGCTTGTCTCATAACCAAAAAAGAAGCGCGACTTATTTACCCGCATCCTCCTTAGAAACGCTGCAATCTCCGAGGACATACTAACAGAAAGCCCAGTCTTATAAAGGCAAGCTACGCTTCCTTTCCCGTAGGTTATGAAGGACGAGGTACGGTCTTCGGTTCTCACCGCGGGAAATACGACTCCTGGGACCGACGGAATCACTACGACTGCTTTGAAAATAGCATGGCTAGTTATCGAGGATATTGTCCTCTTACTTTGTAGCGGGTATATACGCGAGGGTTAGTATCTTACTTGTTTTAAAGAAGTAACTCTCGTGATCCTAGGAAAACCGGGGAAAGAGATAAGACACTCCCGCGCTCCTATAGGCCAATTGCGCTCTTGGCCGTCCTCGGAAAAGGCTTGGAGAGACTCATCGCCAGACGACTTGCCTGGATCGTAGTTAAATATCGTGTTCTGTACGATCAATAGTTTGAAGTACTCCCTCTTCGCTCTTATAACGACCTTATCGCAGCGGCTATCTACGATATCGAGTACGCCTGGTAAAGAGGCCTGGTTACCTCTATGCTTACGCTCGATATAAAAGGGGCTTTTGACGCCATGCTCCTAGGACGACTGGTCCGACGCCTTTGCAAATAAGGATGGCCGGAGAACCTCGTACGCTGGGTCTTAAGTTTTGTTACCGGAAGGAGAGCAAGAATAAGGCTTGATGGGGAGGTAGGAGACGTCTTCGGTCTCGAATACGGACTACTATAAGGCTCACCCGTGTCTCCTATTCTGTTCATACTCTATATTAAACCTCTTTTTAAGCTAGGCATAGCTCGCCTAAGAAGGAAGCGATCTCGTTTTAGCTATGCCGATAACGTCGCTATCTTAGTAAGCTCAATATTATTAGAGAATAACTATAATAGCCTAACTAAGGAATAGAAAGAAACCTTAGGATAGGGCGCGACGGAAGGAATCACTTTTGACCTTAATAAGTCCGAACTAATCTACTTCACTAAGAGACAAAAAGACGGAAACCTATTAATCATAGTAGGTTTGCCGGATGGGAGGTATTATATAATTTAGGCTATTAAAGAAGGCTCTTCTCTACGCTGGCTCGGCGTTCACTTCGACCGTAAACTCATATTCAAGAGTCACGTAAGAAACCTCTCCGTAAAAGCATATTAAGTAATTAATGGACTATGGGGACTAGGGAATACTATCTGGGGCGCGCCTGCATATTTACTTCGTCGAGCGATCACCTCTTATATATTACCCACTTAGTACTATATATCTAAAATATGGTAGCCCGGCAAGAGCCGGATAAAGAATAGACGTACTATCTTAAACGGGGTTGGTAGTCTGCTACACCAACTAGACGCGACGCAAACTAAAGCTATTAGAGCGATGGTCCCCGTATACAGAACTACGCCTGTACCGATCCTACAGCGCGAGGCGGCTCTACCCCCAGCAGAGGTAATACTGGACGCGAAGCTCTACACAGCGTCCACCAGAATCCATCGTCTGGACGAGCGACACCCTCTCCGAACGAGACTCAGGGACAAATCAGGACCAGACTCACGGCTACGACGAATGGCAAGCCTCGTAAGCAAAAATACCGAATACATCGATCCGTTAGAATTCCCCCCTTGGGAGCAACTAGCGGACTGGCAGACAGCCCTCGCCAGGGTCGGCTACGAACCTAATAAGACCAAAGAAGAACAGGCCCTCTCCTTTATAGGCAGGATAGCAACTTTCTCTAAGCGGGATATTATTATCTATACTAACGGGTCCTAGATATCGGACGGCAGTAATACCTCCGCCGGAGCAGGCTGGGTAGGGTACTAAGCTACACGGCAGATCTTCCGCGGATCCGAACTACTCGGCTCCTAAACTGAGGTGTATGACGCGGAGGTATATACTGCGTATTACGGCCTAATGGAAGCTACCCGGGCTCCTACGGCTCGTATGGTAGATAACGTCCATATCTACCTCGATAACCTCGCAGTCGCGGCTAGATTATACTCCTAGAGCATAGGAAGCAGCTAGGCTAGAGTTAGGGCCTTTAATAGGCTCTCTTCCTCCTGGAC